GCCACTTCAAATACTGTTATATTCCTTAAAAATCAAATATATAATTTTTAATTCCTATGAATCATTTTTTTTTCTATCTGTAATGCCTATTCTACCCCCACCTCACTTCCATTGCCTAATGTGTACCCCTGTTAATCCCTTTTCTGATTCAGCTCACCCTACAAATCCCACTCAGGTATCACCTTCTCAATGAAGCCTTCCCAGGATACAATCCTCCCTCTCTGATAGCACGCAATAATGCACTCTCATTATTTGCCACTTCCTTGTGTTTTTGATGACTATGGGCCGTTGAGAGTCGAGACCATGTCTTGGTGTCCTAAGCACAGAACCTGGAACATTAAATCTTTGTTGAAGGAATGCATGGTCTTAATATTTCTGCCTGCTTCAAAAGATTTTCAATATAATTATTTTGACTTATCTTTATTTGAATATATTGATTACAGAAAAATGGTTATATAGCTCTAAAAGACTGAAAATCATTTGGGAGTTATTTTACATAAGATACTTAAAGATTCCATTTTAAGAATGTAAATTTCAATGTGATAATGATTATTAACACCCTTTAATTGAATTCAAACCTCACATCAAGGATGTTACTCGTTTGAAATTTGTGGCAAATTTTTTTAATGACATTTGACTATAGTCTGAGGGTCTGTCCTGTTCATTGTTCTTGAAGTAAGAAAAAAATGTCCTACTCTGTGTAGCAGCCTCATGATGCTTTGTTTTTTGGATGTCTTAACTCATGTTTCATGAACTCAGGATTCGTCTCTCTGTGTCTTGCCAATTCTGTTTCACAAGACTAATTTTTGTCTTGTGCCTTTCTCTTTTTAAAAAAAAAATTTAGATTAAAAAAAATTTTAGATTCAGGTGGTACATGTGCAGGTTTGTTAATGAATACTTTGCATGATGCTGAGGTTTGGGCCTCAGTTGAGTCCATCACCCAAATAGTGAACATAGTACCCAATAGGTAGTTTTTCAGCCCTTTTCTTTCTCCCTCCCTCCCTTCTTTTGCAGTCCCCCATGTCTGTTCCCATTTTTATGTCAGTGTGTATCCAATGATTAGCTCTCACTTATAAGTGAGAACACGGTATTTGGTTTTTTGTTTCCATGTTAATTCACTTAGGATAATGGCCTCTAGCTATTTGTTGCAGCAAAGGACATGATTTTGTTCTTTTTTGTGACTGCATAGTATTCTATGGTGTAAATGTACCATATTTTTTAAGCCAATCCTGTCTTGTGTCTTTCTTAATATCATAGTATCGTATGTAAGCACAAAACAGTTTTTATATGGTACAGTTAAAAAATCTAAAACACAAATTTGATCCTCTCAAACATCTGCATAAAACCCCTCAGTGTCTCTACAATGCCTGCAGGATAAATGTCCAAACTCCTTACTATGGAAAAAGTTATGAAATTTTTCTATCTTTTACTTATCCCTGTTTATCTTTAAGCCCTACGTCTTGCCACCGCCCCTTGTAGTCCAGGCAACCCTGTGCTCTCTCTTGCCTCTGAGGCCTACAGGTGTTATTCCCTCTGTGTGGAATACCTGACCTTCAGACTATTCACATTTGCAAAGCATGCATGTATCTGTGTGGTTTTTAGATTAAGATTTATCTCTCCCACTGAACTGTGAACTCCATGTAAGCAAAGAGCACATTTAACGCACTTACTGTTGTGTGGCATGTTCCAGACACTCCATAAACACTTGCTGCGTGAATAAATAAAAGAATGTCTCCTACCAGGTGTCCCCAGCATCTAACACAGTGCCTGGCACATAGTAAAGCATCCAGTATTTATAAATCAGTACATGTTGGTGATCATTTCTAAAATTATAACAACTGTTCCTACTTTGTTTTATATTTAAATATGGGACTTTTATTGTTTTGGAAGACTTTCACAAGAACTTTCTTACTTGAACCTCTCTCTTACTTGAACCTCTGCAGAAAAAAGACTTCTATAAAGTGACACCTCCCTGTTTCTTTTTTATTTTGAACCCTGATTTGAAGAATTCCAATAATACAGTTTAACCATGTTAAATAATTTAATGTGGTTAAGTGACCCTGTTGTGCTGTATGATGTAAAACAGAAAAAGAAACTGCTCCCATTCTGCCAGGTTTTAAATGGTAGCATATGAAATACTGATTTCTTTGTGCTGTCCAAGCAGGAATATTATAGGCATGGCAACGTTCTTTTTCAAATTACAAAAAGAATCGGTTACTTAGTTAAATGTACAAAATAACCACATCTATCTATGCAAAAACACATATTTAGTGAAATGACCAGAGTTGAAAAGTACTTGGAGAGGAAAGTCGAGGAAATACCACTGTATTTTGGGTGGAAGGGAGGGAAATGTTAAAGAATCCAGCATTGAGGTCACATTGCTTTCGAATATTGGAACTGAGTTTGGAATAAACCCTGTTGCATGGCAGTAGACAGAGACTTGCTAAACTAAATTACATGAAAATACTAAAATGCAAGGTGTTTGTGTTATGACAACGTGATGTGATGAAACATTTGCCTACATTTTAGAAGTAAGAAAAATGTGGAGATGCCTTTTGAATAACTAAGTGATCATACTGATTTTTTAAATCTCCCCTAACTACAAGAGACCTCAAAGCTCCCACATTTTACAAGTATGAGAACTCATTTCCAGAGAGGTTAAACAAATTGCCAAGGTTATTGAGCTAGTTAATTGCATAGCCAGGATTTAAAATCTAGGTTTTCTGATCCTCATTATTATGCTCTTTTATTTTTCTTACAGGGTTCTACTACTGAATGTGTTTGGTTTTATAAATATCAATGAATCTTGAATGGATACTGTAGAAAACTACTTGCGACACTGAGAAGTTTTCTTGGGGGAAATAAAGATTTATGTAAATTTACAGGCATTGGCAATGTCACATGCTGCCTCACCCTTTTATTGTGGGAGATAAATGAGTCTAGGAAAATGAGATAGCACAGAAACAGTTCATCTATCCCCAACTCCTCCACCTGCAATACTGTTTCCTTTGTCCCCAGCACTACCAAAGAAAACTCAAGTTGCTAGCTGGTAAGATAGATGTTTTGCCTCCTATAGCCAATCTTTTCAGCCAGTATTTTTCCTCCTTGCAACTGACAGCACAGTCCCCCACCCCACATACCACATACACACATACATACATACCACCACTAGCACTAAGAGTGCTGCCTCCAGTTTCCAATTCTGTTACAAATTTTGAGGCAAGAAGATAAAACTTCCGCATTTTATCATTTATTTATACTATTCCTAACTAGTTGTTGACCATAAAGCCAAAGAATCTCCACTTGAGTGACTTTCATATCTATCTAAGCAAACACACCAAGGTAGGAAACTGAAGTGGGTATAACTCTTTCAAAGATAAATGCACAAGCCATTTTTGCAGGGATTATATATTTTTTATATATATATATACACATACACACACGCATACCCACACACACATATATATATGTGTGTGTCTAAGTAACTCAAAAGAATCAACTGAGAAACCATTAAAATAAGTTTCAGAAATGCATTAGAAAGGGCTTCTCACAGTTTAGTAAGCTAATGGCCTACTCTCCCAAGAGAGAGCTGGAATGTGAAGTGTTTCCCAAAATTATCTGACCTACAGTGAAATACATTTGGGAAACTCTGCTTCCAGTGATTCTGGAGACATGGACTGGATTTGTCTAGCCATTTAAAGATGGATGACCTAGTGGGCATGTTTCCACATGGCGCATACTACATATCAACATATGTGTGTTGATGCCAAAGAAGCTAAAATAAGTTGTTGTCAAAATATTTATGGGCTTGATTGAAGTTGTTAGAGTATATAAAAAGAAAATAAAGCTACCACATGGGTTTTAGTTTTTAGATTTTTTCTGTCTTCTGTTGACATGAATGACAACCATAATCTTACATTCAAGCAGCTTACATGTTTAACTTAATGTGTCATTGTATTTGATAAATAAAACTCTGGTGTTTGGGGTTGCTTTTTATTTTTGAAGCAACACCATATCGTTACCTTCAATCAGATTGTTAGAGAAATGTATTTTCCTAGAATCACTTAGGTTACAAAAAGCTCTTTAAGTTTTCTAGTTAATAAATCTAAATCAAAGCTAGATCGAGCTAATCCCTTTTTGAGTAGGGAAAGCTCATTTCATTCATTGTGTGTGGTACGTTATCTCCTTGATTCCACTTTAAGTATCACATGCTATAGCGCATTTGACCCTATCTCTTGTAATGTTTAAGGAAGTAATATTTCCATGTTTGATGATAGCTTCTTGTCAAGAGTGTTTTCAGGTGATCAATTTAAAGATAACATCTCAGTAAATACTACTACCATCTGGTATGGCATCTTTCTGAGGAATATATTGATAATCTCATAACTAGTAAGCACTCCTCACTGGGCTTGACTTAGCACATATCCTCATTTGAATGTATTCTGCATAGCACACTCTGGAAAATTCACTCAAATTCTATAAACCTGCATCCATTCCATTAATACTGCATCTCAAGAATGCCCTGTAAGAAAAATAGGTTTTTGTTTGCCATGCTTTTTGATAAGCATAACTTTCTAAATTTTGACACCCACTTAAAGGAAAGCAGAGCTGAGCCAGAACTGTTCACTGCTCTCCTGCATTGAAAAGTTCTGATGTTTAAGACGCTATAATGGAAGAAAGGGAATGTATTTCCGTGTTAATCTTCTGTTACAAGTTTTCCACTTTATTTTCAAAACCCTAAATTGTTAGAACTTGTGGAGAGAAATAAAAACTCATTTTCACTGTGCCCAAGAAAGAAAAGAAAGCATTTGGGTGGATTTGAGTGCTGAGAATGGGAAGGTTTATGACTCCTTCCGTTGGGCAAACTATTAAACTATGGCTCTCTTCTCTATAATTGCTTTGGAAATGGTAACAGTACAACAGTACTGCCTGTGTATGTGCATATGTATGTTGACAGTTACAATAAACCAATAAAATGATCTATTTTCTCCTTATCCAAGGATTTCCTGCTGCAGATATTTACTGTGTTCCGAATATTGATACGCCCAGAGATGTTTCCAAAGGACTGGACTGTTATGCGCTTGGTTGCTAACAAGTAAGGCATTTAAGTTGATGATAATTGCAGCTCAATGTATAGAGGATGAAGAGAGTACAAAATAATCTTTTCCATTTGATCTCAAATGTGAAGTGGTGGCTTTTTTTTTTTTTTTTTTTTTGCCTCTGAATTAAGCCTTTTAAAAAAATATTACCACTTGTCTTGAACTACTGTTTCCTTTATATATATTACCATCATTCAAAAATCAAACAACATAATAGCGTATGCATTGAGAAGTTCTGTTCCCATTGACCCTCTACCCCTAGGCTGTATAACCACTTGTATTTGTTTCTTACATGTCCTCCTAGTGTTCCTTTATACAGAGACCAACAGGTAATGTAATATACACACTGTTCTTTATAACACGCTTAGAAATCCTGGCAACCTTTCCAAATTAATAGATAGAAAACCTTTCATTCTTTTATGTATTTTCCTTTACAGCTGAATAATATTCCATTGAATGGCCATACCATAGTTTATTTAACCAATTCTCTGTTACTAGAAATTTGAATGATTTCTGATCTTTCTTAATTCATCTTAACAAAATACATACATTAAGCATCTGCCGTTTGCTCCACACTGGGAATAAGACATGACCCTTGAGGTGGACACATGGAGATTGAAGTTCTTTCTATTCATCCAAGTGGTATGGCCAATAGACAGCTGAAAATATTGCCCGGAGGAAACTTCAGAACAAAACATAGGCATTTGGGAGGTTATTGACATAAAGTTGATATCGGAATCTCTAGAAGATGATAAATTCAGTTTATATTAAGCATATCCAGCATGATCTGAGAGCAATACTAGAAGAGAGAGGAGCCAGAAAAGGATATTAGGGCAGTCGGAATGGCAGGAACTGATCCCGGAGAGTACGGTGTCATGGATTTATCTGCTCTCTCCACTTCCTGTCTCCATAGTCTCAGGATACAGAATGGAAAAGTGCTCTAGGAAACTGGCCTGGTCTTCACTTCCAAGCTTGTTATTTACCCTATTTCATTAGCATTCTCATTCTCACTCTCCAAGCCCACATTTGCCTGCTTCGCCTTCTTCCTCTTTTCCGAACGCCAACACCCTCATGCTCAGGATGAAGGTTGGATTCTCTAAGCATCTATCCATAGGCCACGGTCGCCCTGTGTTTTCTCCAGATGGCAAGCTTTGATGGTGGTGAGAGCTGCAGGAATATAGGATTCGATTTTGATTATATGTGCTCAATATGGCTTCTGCTGCAGTATACATTTTTAGACTTGGAGGTGTTAGAATGATGTGTTAAAAACTTTGTGAAGTAACAAATAGTATAACATAGCATATTATATTTTACATAAGTACAGAAGCAGCTTTTCCATTTTGAAGACTAATTGAGACTGTTGAAATAGCTGTCTTTAGAATTTAACATATTTAGTTTGATATCTGTGAGTAGAATCAACTATCTATTCATTTGGATGTCCGCATGCTACAGATTTAGGTGGGAGTTTTTACTCATGCATCTGGCCTTATAACCAAAGAGCAAGCATTCTGAGTACCTGGGAAGGGCTGTGAGGAAATCCAAGGAGCCAGATGGGAAGAGGTCCAGGCTATGGACATCATCATCATGCGGCATCAACATTTGGTCATTCTGCCTGACTCATGTGCAGAGGAATATTTTAGATTGAATTAAAATTTCAGTGGTAGAAATTCAAACTGAAAGTAACATTGACATTTTATTCCTTACATATACAATTTCTGCTTAAGCTTGCCTAAAATTGTGACAACCGTGTGGCTTTTTGATATTAAATACTGCCTCTCTCTGCCCCATCTTTACTCCAATTTTGAAGACTTTATGGTCACACAAGTGGATAGCAGTCTGAGAAGTATAGATTCTGCTTTTGAATAAACACACAGTGTTCAGAATTTTCATTTACAGTGTTAACCAAATAGGAAGGTGATTTTGTTAGAGATGAGCTCTGTGTAATACATTTAAACAGAAGATTATTCCCATAGCAAACCCAAGAAATGTGCCGTCACTCTTTGCTAAATGTGGTGACTTCATTCCATTCCCACCCACGTGAGTGCTGGTAGGAGTATGGTGCTGCCTCTCCACTGGCAATGGCTGGTGGCTGCGAGTCCAGCCTCATTCATGGACAGGACTCCATTGTCTAGAGAGACCACTGCCAAGTTGGAGCAGCCAGTCTGCTGCATGTTCTTGCTCTTGCCTCTTCTTTCCTCTCCTCTCCTCTTTTAATAGTCTAACCATTCTCCTCCATTCAAGTCATGAAAGCAGATGAGGTTTGCTTTGCTTCATAAATGCATCACAGTCCAAAAATTAGCCCTCTACTATCTGTGCTTTGTGAAAAATATTAACCCATATAGTATTGGTAGAAAACTAGATTTCTGAAAGATGTTAAGGACATCTTAAATATGTTAAAGAGCATACACTAGGAAGAAAAGGTTTCCGCTTGGCTAAACCATGTTGAAGCACGTTGCAAGAGTTACATCTACATCTCTGAAGTTGACCACCTTTTCTTCCATAGTTTCAACTTTCTTAGACAAACATTTGTTCAGGGCCTCTCAGCGTGGCATTTTAACCCAAACTCCCACTTTTATTAACCCAGTTGTGTGCTTAGTGCATGTCAAATTGATAGCAGATGGCTGAGAAGTCACCATTGCCCTACCCGTGAACTCAATTGAATTGCTCATCCCTCAAAATGAATGTTCTTTTTTGTGTTGGTCTTTTCTTCCTGTGTTTTCAAGTAAATTAAATGCCTTTAACTTTCATCTATAAGCTGTGTCGTTCCAAATCTTGTAGCTTGCCTGCTTCGTGTGAAGCTCTGCCAGAGTTTGTGACCAGACACCTGGTGATTTGTATGGTTCTTTGTTTTTTTCTACCTGCATGCCTAATATTGTATAACATAGCAAGTGTGCCCACTCACAATTCTGCAAGGGCAAGAAGCATTTCTTCTCTTTCTTGTTTGCTGCAGAGCTATCTCATGACCCCCTGTAAGTTCTTGGTAGATGTTTCTGATGAGAACAACTGCTCAACCTAATAAAGAAGGAACATAAGGAAGATGAAAATTAAGTACCAAAAATACAGGACACTTTGAAACAAGCTTCTCTCCACCCCCTTCCCATACACATTGTGAAATAAAGTACAAAAATAAAGTCACAGCTTTATACATATTTTCAAGAAGAAAAATCTTGTAACATACTTGCTTACTGAGGAAAGTAAAAACTCTCTCTTCAGTTGAAATTTCAGGTCTTTATTTTGGTTATCTTGTGTGCGTATTGGCCTCAAACATATCATACATAAACCAACTTGGGTTTCAAATGAGCTCTACATAGCCAAAAAGCAGTTTGTTAAATCAAAGTTTCTTAGAGAGATTGTCCATTCATTTACTGACCCATTTATTCAGCCAGTATTCTCCAGTGCCTAATGTTTAAAATAAGTACTATAAAGACAAAGAGCACAGGTCTATGAGGGTGTTATGAAATGAACATTGTTCTGGACTAGAACAGGAGGGGTCTTTCATGAAGGAGTGAAGCTTGAACTGAAAGCTAAGCAGGGGGTAACAAACAGCAAAGGAAGAATGATTCTATCAGTAGGAATATCATCTACAAAGGCCCTGTGGTCAGAGTAAATGTGGCACACTCAAGGAACTGAAAGACTGTTAGTGTGGCTGAAATGTGGGGAGGGAAGGAACCAGTAAAGATGAGGTTGGCGGAGGAAGACAGAGCCCAGATATTGATATGTAGAGAGACCAAAGAGAAACCAGGGAGAACCAGTTAGGAGCTTACTGCAGCCATCCAGGTAAGAGATGTTGGTGATGGCTTGGACAGGCGGATAGCAATGAAGGTAGTGAGAAGATTGGTTTGGGAAATAAGGATGATAAGACTTGCAAGTGACTGGGTGTGGGTGGGAGAAAAGAAAAGTAATGGAAGATGTTTCTTAGATGCTTGGCCTAAGCAAAAGGATGAATTGTGATGCCATTCACCTAGGTGGAAAAAATGGAGAGAGGAGTAGCATTGGGGATGAGAGAATTGAAGAATTCCATGTTGAACATAAGTTTGAGGTGTACTAGATTTCCAAGTGGAGATGTAGAAGAGAAAGCTACACATGCTTGTGTGGAGCTCAGGGATGACGTTGGGGCTGGACATGTATGTTTGGGCTCCTCAGCATATGGTCAGGATTTGAAGCCTTGAAACTGAACAAGAGCACTGAGGAAGAAAGTACAGACTGAAAAGAGAGAGACAGGACTGAGTCCTGGGGCATGCCAACATTTTAAAAGTGGGGAAGTAGAGAGGTATCCAGTGAAGAAGACTGAAAAAGAGCAGCCTGTGATGTAAGATGAGAATCAGCAAAGTATAGTGTCCTGTGAAGAAAGCATTTCAAGAAGGAAGCAGTATCTAGAGCTGCTGAGAGGTTGGTGGTGATGTGGACAGACAACTGGTCTCGAGATTTGGAAGTGCGGTGGATAGTGGTGACCATGACAAGTGTTGTTTCAGTGGAGTGGTAAAAAGGAAAACCTGATTAGAGTGAATTCAAGAGTGAATAGGAGTTGAGAAACTAAAACAGCAATTACAGGAAGAGTTTTGCTATCAAAGGGAGCAGAGAAACAGGGCTGTATCTGGAAGGAGATGCTAGGACTGGGATTCTTTTTAGAATATGGGATATTACAGCATGTTGATTTACTAATAGGAATGGCCCTGTTAGTAAAAGGCAGAAATATTGGTGCTAAAGAAAACAGAGATAATTAAAAGAGCAATGTCCTTGGGCAAGCAGGGATGGGATTGCATGCAAGGTTGCTACGTATGCCAGCCCAAGAACTATCTGCTACCTGTCCATAACAAGCTTGCATGTAAAAATAAATCATCAGTGTAAGCATGCAATTTAATTAAACTGACATTGTTTTTTTGTGGTAAGACTTTCTCAAGGAAGGAAGCTTCCCACACTTAGAGCAGCGCTGATCTAGTGCACACAAAGAAAGCTAGGAGCATTGACAGTTTATCCATAGTAACAGGAAGGAAGG